TGGCGTCTGTTTCTCTGTCGTTCCTGTCGTGCTTTGCTGTACCAGCCAGTAGAGAATCCGTTTCATGGAAGGGTCAATGCGCCCATAACCACAGCTTATTCACTACACTACGGGAGCCCTTGGCCAATGAACTCTTAAGAACTCTACCAGTCTGACTGACGCGCATTACTGCGCGCATGGTTAAACCTGTGGTACTGATAACTGACAGGATTTCTGTGCTGAGCACTAACACTTAGCCTAATTCCCATGTTTCAAAACGGCCCATTTCATCATGTTTCTCCCTTTCAATGAACATTTGCCGATGTTTGGTGCTTATCATATTTCTAAAAGCGTTCGTTGGAAATAGGACAGCAAAGCGGTTGGAAGAATGTCGATGTTAAAAAATTGGAATCATAGTGGCTTCTATCCTCACTGGCCAACAAGTCCAGACATCCTCTTCCCAGTGAAACCGAGCGTTTAGCGGTGGAAGCAATTCCGACCGCTAAACTGAGGGATTTTGCTAAGGGATAGAAACATCTTGACTCACTAAGCCTTTGCCCATTGATTCATTTGGCCACTGATGTGAGCGTATACGGACTCCCAAAAGCCCTTGTCGGACACTGTCAGAATTTATCTCCCACCTTTAATGTTCCCTAAGCACCTCTGAATTACTTGCTGGAGCAGTTCCCAGTGTTGCTACACTCTGCTGTGAATTTTCGGGCTATCTTAGCTGTTATCATTCCTGCCACCCACCAATAATGTTCCCATCCTGCCCCCTATCTTACTTCTTGGAACCAACGTCCCATCGTCGCTGTGGCCGGCGCTATGAATTTTTGACCCTTCCCTTCTGAGGCTCCTGATGTTATCTTATCAGCTGTTATCACGTCCTGCCACCCACCATTAATGTTCCCATCCTGCCCTTTACTTTTTGGAACCAACTTCCCGGCGTTGCTGTGCGCATGTTATGGTGTTGATGACCCTCCCCTTCTAAGGCCCCTATGGTAGCTTATCGACTGTTATCACTTCCACCCAATAATGTTCTTGCCCGACCACCTCCATCACTTATCAATTTCAGCGCTTTACCGCTGTTCTGAAGAAAGTTGAGAATTTCCGGTTAAACACACATACGGACAGACAAAC